GCAAGTCTCAAGTCATCATCCCATGCATGATTGCCGGAATCTGTCAGGTCGCAAACGCAGAGGAGGCACATGAACTATGGAAGCTGCTGTGTTGTTCTCAATTCCTTGGCTGCTTTTGAAAAAATAATGCGAGCGGTGCCCGAGACCATACTCCTAGTTCTATTTCGGAAACAAAGACGCTCACGATAGCTTAGGTTTTCCCAGCTTTTGCTACGAAACACAACACTTTGCTAGTGCCAAACCTTGTTTCTGAAAGCCCCTGTCTTTCCTAATAAAGACGGTTTTGATCTCCGCTCATGGACCTACAGCATCTGAGTAGCGCTACGCACCTAGCACCGGCCAAATGAGACAACACATGCAAACGAATTGCGTAGCATTATCATTGCCAAGGATCGTGAGTCCACGGCCAGGACTCGTCCTGAGCCAAGCCGCTGGGTCACCACGCGACCCACTCCAGGGTGAACGTACAGAATGTCCTCAGCGCCTCGGAGCGTTTCCAGCGGGAAATGAAAAACTTTACCAGCGTTCCCAGAAGCACACTGGCCTTCCAACGCCTGCACTTGCCAGCTGAAGTGTGGCACAGGCAAAGGCACCGACGGGAACTCCTTGTAGGCTAGCGCAGTTTAAGAGCAGTTTTTGAATCCCAAGACTTGAGAGTGGTCCTCCAAAGGGCGGCGTGGGCCACGCAAAACCTTCAGTTGAAGTTGCAGATGGGCCATGGGCGGCGCACGCATCAGTGATGGCAGGACTACCTGAGCGCGCAGAACTCGCAACAGAAACGGCTGGTCCATGCATTTGTGGGATGTTGCACAACTGCCACCTGCCTGAACCGCTGCAAGCGAGTTACAATGTTCTCCAAGACAGTAAGTGCGACGTCCGGAGAAATCACTGGCTTCGCACCAGCCAGGGTCAAGTTGGCGCCAACTGTAGTCCTTTCATTCTCGCCACATGGACGGGATCGACTTCGAACTTGGGGCGATAGGACAAACCCAACCTTCCCGTGGCAACGCCACGGAGTAGGACGGTGTCAGGATCAGCCCCAGCCTGACAGGAGGATGTAAATCCAGGGTCTAGTGACAAGACTGGCCCCATGCCTCAGCCAAGGCACGCCGAACAGGACTGAGCTTGAAGGCCTGTCAAGTCGATGCGTGGCCATTTCTTAGAGGAACCTACCTTCATGTGGAGGATCGGAGCCATTACACTGCTGATGTTTTGCGTGCCACATGTTTTCGGTAGACAGTGGTTGAGCTGCGAGTCGGCTCAAACCATAGAGGCCCTCTTGGGTTGACCTTGCTACACCTTGCAGGAAGCAGAACATGGCCAGCGCGCCGAGTCAACCAGTTTGGGTCTCTGCAGGACGGTCGTGTCGCCGATGCGCCATTTGAACCTAAGATAGGCGGCTACGACACGCTTTGCGCTGATTTGAACCAACAAGGAAGTTCGTGAAAGTTTATGAATCCAGGCGACTGCAGACCCTCTAGGGACGAGAAGACATTGCCCTGTCTGTCATAGGCCTGCCAGGAAACGAGCCAATCTTTCGTTCGAAAAAATCCGTTGATGCAAATTGTCTGCACTGACTTGGCAGTAACTTTTGAACTGGGTACACGCATGTTGCACACAGCCTTGACGCCCAATGTCTCCACATCCTCTACGTTGATTCGACGTACTGAGGTTTCAACCTTATCAGTCTGCTGTCAAGCCCATCTGTGTGCACACCACTGGCAATAGTCACGCACGCAGCAATCTGCAGCTAATCTGCCTCTATTCTATGGATATTGGCGATGTACACCTCACATCCTGGGCGACGGCTTTTTCAAGCGCTGGCTTCAGAAGTGTACATGTGCACATGGGCACTACCAGCCACTTGCGAAGCAATGTCAAGGATGTCCAAGGATCTTAGCTCCACCCAGGACGAGTGGATATCTTGAGCCAAAACCAAAACCTTCTCGACATGGTCTACCGTTTCCACGAGGCTGCGGATGATGGCCACCGGCTGGCCTTGGCTTGCATTTGCCTGGCTTGCCCTTCTTAGTAAAGGAAACTGAAAGAAAAGGCTCGCCGCGTGAATTCAGTTAAATACATCTCCGAGCTGCAGCCGTCACTGCTTGCGCCCTCCGGATCATCGAATGGAACGGGGAACTGCCGCCCCGCATGTAAGCACGCCTAGGACACCGCTTTGGGAGTCAGAAGTCGTTGCGGTGCCCAGCTTTGCTCTTTTTACATCTCAATTTACTTTTACTCTCTCTCTCTCTTTTACTCTCTCTTGCAAGCATTTGCTCGTGTTTCAGCGCCTCCTGGCAGGCTGCTTCTGCCTCGGCATCCGCCGCGCGGCGAGGTGGGAGCTCCTCAGGCAAAGGCTCCTCCAATGCCACCAGGTCCGGCCTTCACTCCCGCTTTGAGAGCTTCTTACCGCACACGCACACACAATCCTGTGGTGTTCCAAGGACATGGTGTGCAACGCTAGCGGCCTCTGCGAAATCCAGCGGAAACAGCCACCTGATGCCTTCAGGCATGACAAGCATCTGCTTCCATCCACTCTCGACTATGGCCTGAACCTGAACCTTGCCTTGCCAATTAGCATGAAACACCAGGCACCTCAACACGCAAGCGCGCTCCACTGGCTGTCCCGCCCGCTGCTCCTGACGAGATGTACACCAGGATTCAGCCAAAGCATTTGCAAAAAGTGTACCTCGCGGGGGCAGCAGTGCAGTGACGACGGAGATCTTCGGCTCGGCCCCCGCCAAAGCCTCTGCAACATGGCTGCACGCAGCACACCCAGATTGAAACCTCTCGCGAACTCTTCGCTGGCCAAGGCACCAAGCAAGCTCCCAGCAAGACAACATTCCTAAAGCCCATTCCAGCGATGGCTTACAGCTTATTGTCACTGGCTGCTGATGCTGCAGTGCAAGCTGAGACGCTGGGTAAGGTTAGCTTCCGATCTTGAGCGGCACATGGTCTTGACACTTATCTTTACAAGCTCAGCTGATGCTAACAAGGCTGATACCTCAACATGCCACGGCCCTCAGATCTAGAATCTAGAATCTAGACTGCATGCTTCGTTTGCGGTATTGTCCCTGACAGGTGTAGCATACTTCCGGGCTGTGCATGGCGTACAATTCTGAACCAAAAAGTTCGGAGTGACAAGGTGGTCTGTCAAGGCCCAAGACACTCGCGATGCTGCATCACAGGCCATAGCGAACTGCCACAATCACCAGTCTTTTTGTCCGTAGAGTAGACAACCGCACGCATATCACACTTCTTTGACAGAGTCAGAGAAGCGTTCCATCGCTAACACTTAGATTGCACTTGTGTGAATGAGGTGATCTGTGTAGGTGTTGACACATCTTGCCACATGTTTTTTTGCTGATTGTCAAGGCCATCAGCCCCGGCGTCGACGACGCCGGCTTCGAGAGCGGCTGCGCTTCTCATCCGGCTCGGCGCTGCAGGGTACAGATGAGCAAAAGGAGTTCACCAGGGTAGAGCGATGAGTCGCAGACATCCTACTGGGAAGGTAGCAGGCCAGCTACGAGGCGAGGGTGGGTATGTGTGGCGCGCAGAGCGAGCTTCCCAACCTTGTGGGCGCTGCAGGCGGGTAGCCACCATAGGGATAGGCGTGCGGAGGCGGGTAGCCATACGCCTGGCCATCAGATGCATCTGCCCAACTGACAAACTCCCGACATCTGGCTGGAAGGCAAACGAGCCGGTGCAGGCTGCATAGTAATCAGGCGGCGGAGGTGGATAGTAGCCTCTCCCGTTCGTTACAGCAGCTACGCTCGCTTTCAGGAGCTTGCATCCAACAATGCATTGATGCTTTGGACGCGGCCATAAGGATAACCACCATAGCCAGGGGGCGGATATCCTGGATAACCTGATGCTTGACATCATCAAGCCCAAGTTCGCGGTTGCCTGCTGTTTAGCTCAAAGTTCCATCTTGCAGCACGCATGCCTGCCTCCGTAGCAGGGCGGAGGGTAATAGCCTGAGCACAGTGGACAGGTGCCGTGCTGCGATTACCCTTGCTCCATGCGGTCCATGCCTGGCGGCGGCGGTCCATGTGGAGGCGGTCCGTGGTAGGGAGGCCCGTTGCTGGGGCCTGCATATTATTAGCACCAAAGCACCAGTAGCTGCCGTTGAATGCACACTGCTAGCTGCGTTAGCATCTGCATTGCCAGTTTGCCAGCATGCTTTCTGTTTCCGATTGTTTCCTTGGTAGCACAAGTACACACATCACTGGTCCGAGCTTTCGGCGCTCATCCTCCACGTCATCCTTGCAAGCAGAAGCACCGCCACAGCTAGTTCTTCCAGCTAATCAACCTTCGAGCACGGACACAAACTTTGCCTTCTTGCCAGTTTCCCGAGCTCGCATGACTTCCTGCAGTCTTGCAGCTTTAACCGGGAAACTGCCTGGACTGTTGAAGATTGATGCAAACTTGAAGCTTCTGTGTCAGTTAAAGTGAACCTGTCCTGAGGCATACATCGCTTGACCTCCACCCACTTATTGTCAATCTTGTTCAGCTTGTCGTTGGCTAGAGCTGCCTGGCATCGCCGTGCTCAACAGGTCCAGTCTGGCCAAATCTCAATACGACTGGCACAGTTGCTTCATTGAACGCTGTCTGTTCAGCAGGTGCCGGGAGATCAGCAAAAACTCTCCAGCGCTGAAACGTCCTCTTGCGGACCTACACGATCTCATCCCCGACCACCCCTCTCTTGTGCATTCTTCCTTGCTATTCAGTGAAATGCAGGGGGAGCGGAGCTTCTGTTAGTTAGCGTCATCTACTCAAACCAGGAAACCATGCTTCAAAACGGATGCAGTATATAACTTGCAAGGCAGCTGAAAGCATGAGGATCCTGACGGTAAACAGAAGGCACCTCTGTCTGTTTTACAAGCTGCTGAAAGCAACTTGTCGAATGCCAACATGGTGAAACTTGACCAATCACATCCCTTTAAAGCATTAAATGTGGCTTGGCGATGGACCGGTAGTCTTGTTGTCTCTGGCCATGCTCACAAGCGTATAAATTCTCCTGCAGCATTCAGCCAGGGTGGTGAAACTACGTCATCGAGATCCGCCGGAGTCGCCTGGGGTGTGCCAGAACGAGCCCAACCCGTAATCATGGAATCGCCACAGCTTGCACTGCTCCAAATCTCCGAGGCGGCCCTGACCCCGAGGCCTCCAAGAAGTCAGCGGACGCAAATCCATGCCGTCCAGAACGCCCCGAGGCCTCAAATCCAAAGATAAGGACGTTACGCCGGAACCCCTCCGCATCGAGCTGGGTGCCAAACGGTCGCGTTTGTTGCTAGCAAGGACATGTGAGGTGCTACCTGCAAGGAATGGCTGCTTGGCCCCAGTTCAATGGCAAATGCAAGGCATCCTCGCTCACAGGGACACGAATGAGGGACGCGCCTTGCAGTCTTCCGTGGACCTAGCAATGTGCACCTCAAGGACTGCCATACGATTTCAAGACACAAACAGGCTCTGAAAATGCCAAGGGGCTTGTTTGTTCTGGCGATCAAAGACTGTGAAGTAATACCGCAGGAACGGCATCCCCAAGATAAAGACTTCCCCAAATTGGGACTCCTGTGAGTGGCTACATTGGCTCACTCGAGCTCATGCACACATTTCCCATCGCCTTGTCCACTTTCATGAATGCCCCTCTGCAATAGGGAAGACCATCGGTGCCAGTAACCTGAAGTTACCAAGGTTGACAAGCAGGCCTACCTCTGACCCGCAGCAGGCAAGATTTCTGCCTTGAAAATGTATGCTCGCGGCGGCAGCACAACCTGCTGCAAAGGGCTTTTTTGTGTCTTGCCCATCCAAAAGCCCTCTTCAAGTGATCTGCTGCCTCTGCCCCATCCAATTCAAAGTACAATGTCGGCAGCTCATCCAAGTTGCTGCAATCCCTTTTTACCTGGTCTTGCTGAGAATGCAAGGAAATGTTAAAAGGTTGCTAGGAATCTCTGAGCGCAGCACTTTCTGTTTCAGGGCATCGGTGATGTGGCTCGCGGAGCGTGGGAAAGTCAACAGCGACGTACCAGAGTCTATAAGGGCACCACCTCAAAGCAAGGCTGGCGGAAACATGCACGCGCCGGGAAAAGGATGCTTGTGGTTCCGAGGCGGTTGCAGGATGGCTTGCACAGACTGGTCGTGTCAATGCCATCCAGGTCCACCTGGTGGTAGAACGGACTGACTAACGTGTCGAAGCTTTGGCAAAAGCCATCTTCTGTGGACTATAACCCTATATAATCCCTATATACTATAGTAGTTTTCATTTTATTTTCCATTATCCCAATATACCCCCCCAATATAAGGGAGGACCTGGCCTTGAACTGTGAAAGCTTGGTCGCCCAGTGGCTGTCTCCAGACACATCCACGGACTGAAACCCTGCGCACGCTGCGCACGAAGATGCCCAAAGCAAAGTCACAAGGGTGGCTGATGGGCGCGCCTTTGTCATGGGCCATGGCGCTGATGGATGGTCCAAACCTGAATGGGCACTTGCTGTCACGTATCTCCCGCAAATGACCAGCCAAGAAACTGCAGCCAACCAGGACTTGCGATGCCACCTCTGCAACCATCTGCTTTGCGCCAAGTTCAACCTTTGCACCTTCGCTTCGGCCAGAGCAGCCTCGCTGGTAGCAGAGAGCAAATGCATCCAGGTGCATCTCCTCCAGGAGTGACCTGGCCAACGTCGTGAGACAAAACACGTAACTTCCAACAGCATCCAGCTTTTTGGAGTAGCGTTGCTGGTGAGCAGGCGATTTGGAGATGCGCCCAACTCGCCGCCCCAAGATAAACGAAAAACCCTCGACATGCAAAGCCCGATGACCCTATCTGTCAGGCTTACCTGTCTTGGCTGGAATCGCCGCTGAAGCCGTCGGGGATTTTCTTCCTTGACAGTGCTTTTGCAACGAGCACCAGGCGCTAGGACCTAATATGGCACCTACAAACACTGAAAGAAATTTGTCTTGCGAATGTGACCGGAAGCGTCTGATAGACGGCCAAGCTTCACATGGGACAAGCCGACAATTCCGGAGAAAATTGCCTAAAGCAAGTAGCAAGCAGCGAGGACTGGAAAGCTTCCGAGCGGATAAAGCCTCTGTCTCACCTGTTACTAAGTGCCCTGCATGGCCAGTCTTCCAGAATTTCAGTTCGTGGCTCTGCACCATCCAAAATGTCATGTCAGAAGTTGAAACGGGGGAGTCTCCTTGGCAGCATGGGCTTTCAAACAACAACCCTGGGCTCAGCCAGCTAGATCAACTTGACAAATGTGAGAGCAAACTTGCAGCAAAGCATCGCTTCCCCAAGCGAAGAGTTTCAAATCCCTTCCAGGCATCCGGCATTTGTTGTTTCCACATGTTTCCACACTGAGACGGAGATTTGCATTAGGTCAGTATGACTCAGGAGTGGTGACTGTCGCGAGGTTGTGACAAGGCTTCCGGGGAGACACGGCATGGACGGTAATTGCACCACAGCTGCCTCTGCTGTCACAACGTCGCCACTCACAAACTCATGCTCAGCAACTACCTGCCAGACACGCATCAATCTGCGTGAACTGACAAAACCAATTCATCTTGAACAGACTCGGGCAATGCCGAACTGGTAAGGCATGGGCGTGAGTGGGGCTGTCTCGGAAAGATCTCGACTTCTTGTAGTCATACCTTACCAGACTCAAACCATGCATGCCCCCTCAAAAAGATGCGAAAGAGTCCGGTTCTGGTCTTGAAGATGGATGAGGACTCCAACGCTCAAAGCGGATTGGATGCACTGGTGCCAGCACGTCACATTGAGAGCGTCTTTACGCATGTGTTGCATTTTGTTGACAGAACCAGCACCTGCAGCTGGGAAGAGTTCTGCAAGCGGAGGCTACAGTCTGAAGGATGCACCGCCCGTCCTCAAAGGAGCCAGTGTCGTAGATTACCGGGAGCTCCTGCTCGCCTGGAAACTTCGAGATCATTGAAATCCTTGTTTAAGCTCCCCTCGTCTGCCATGCTGACAACATGTATGCCGAGACTCCAATGGTGAAGCGACCACTGTACTGCACATTGAGATGGTTGTCCAGCCTGAGCATCCGTGAGATCAAAGGGTGTTGCACCTGAAGAGCCGCCTCTTGAACCAAAACCACTGACAAGCAGACGCTGCAGTCAATTGGCTGGATGCTGTATTCCCTGGAGGGCGTCACAAACTCCTGGCCGTGAACTGCGTGCATTGCCCAATGGAGAGCTTTACATGGAAGCTTGGCTCTGATTAACCATCTCCTGCTTTTCGGTCTCGCTCTTCGAAAGAGCAGCAGTTTTCTGGGCCTTCTCAGCCTTTCCCTGGCGACTCAGTCATTGCTGGCCCTGGATGCAGACAGAGCCCCGCAACTGACCCCTGCCTCCTCAGCGAAGGCATTGACCATGCCATCAGCATCCTGGCTGCCGTTCAAAACTGCGGTTAGCCGTTAGCTTGCCGCACTCTAGTCTTGCTGCAATCTCCTCACTGTCTGCACCAATGCTGACCCTTTTGGACAGATGCACAGCACTCACCTTGGCCAGTCGCCACTTTGAATTGAAGAAAGCGTTGCAGACATCTTCACACCTTGGGCCTGGACTGTAGACTGCAGAGGTCTTTGAGCATTGGCCTGCAGCGTCTGACAAGGCAGCCTACCGATTGTCATTTGATGAGCAGCCTGGTGGAACGAGTCTTGCCGATGCGCATGCGGTCGCAAATTGCCTTGAACCTGCATCTATGCTGATAGGGCAAGAGGTGCAACAGCAAGTTGAGGCAAAGCCATGACGGGTTCCCAGCGCTAGCTGAAACCTTCGCCGCTGATGACAGCTGGGCTACCTTGCCATGCCACAAAAGCTATGGAATAGCATGAAAGAGTTGGGGCGGAGCAGGAGCAAGCGACCCTTGCACATACAACAAAAGCAGACAGATGCAGACAGTAGGGCCCTGATTTGCCCGAGAGGCCAAGAACACCAGGCTACATGAAATCCAAGTCCACCTGTTAGGCAAATCCGGGGCATGAGAAGTGTCCAAACATGGAAGCGTGTGCGGAAATGATGGGGAGCGCACGACAAGGGGCGGTCAGACATTGGATGCCTGCAGTGCAAACATGGAGATGTGCAACGGCCAAGCGTTTTCAAAGATAACTACTGCCACAAACAGAAACTGACATCGAATCACCGTTGCCTGGAAAGCTACAGTAAAACGGGGAGCAGGACACCACCTCAGGTGCAGCATGGAAGGACACAGTCTGAACAGCAATTCTCTTCAGCTGGTCACACGAGCCAAGCCAAGGAACTGCGCTTGTGCTTACAGCTGCATGGGCCCTGCTGTTCTGAGCCAAATGGCTAAAACATGCTCAAAGTTCGACATGGGAAAGCTCGCTCATAGGAAAGCTGCTCAATACCCGACACCACATGCAGCATGTGCAACCAGTGAAGTTCAGCCTCCACGCCCTTCGACTCTTTGAAGGTCACAAAGCCGAAGCCACGATGCCTGGCACCATCTGCTGCAGCCAGAGACCATTCCCTTGGGTATGTTATAGAAATCGCATACCTGAAGGGGAAAGGGCTTGCCCTGCATAAGCCTGGGAAGTGCCCTGGTGCGTACAACGACTGCAATTCGCCGGCAGGGCCGGCAGGGAAGGTATCTAAACTTCTCCCACTTTTTCGTTGCCTCTTCCCCAAGACCGAAAAATTCAATCGCATCCACCACTTCCCTCGCTTCCTTCGGCACGTTTTAAAACCTGAGCAGTGATGTGGCCTTAGACTCTCCGAGCAGACCCGTCTCTAGCTCCAAATATTTTCTCGCGTTTTGGAATCCGCCAAGCTTCTGATTGCACCTGGTTGTGTGGTGCATGGTATCTGGTCTGAGGAAAAGCATGTCATCTTGCGGATAACACTGCTTTTTTTTTGGAGAAAGGATGCCGACTGAGGCCGGGTTCCTCGGAAAACGCCTGAAGACGCCGGGTCATTTTGGAACTGCACTTTCTGGGGACAAAAAGCAGCTATTCCGAGGAAGCCATCTGGCTTGGGGGATGCGAACTGATTTTGGACACAGCGGATTGTCCTGGCGAACGCTAACTGGCTGTTTTGTGGATGGTGACTGGTATGATGGCAAAAAAAACGAATATGCCGGAGGTGATAATGGTTGGCCATTCTGAGAAGACCCATCAAGGTGCCCATGAAGGTGCCCATCAAGGTGGATGCAAGCAAGCATTGGCGAGCCGTCTCTCTTCTGTTCAGGCAAATGCAGCTGGTTCTGCCCATCGGCCTCATTCCAACCAGCCATCCATCCATGCAAAATCTTATGCTCTGCTAAGCGCATGAAAGTCAGACACACATGTCCGTGCAGCGTGTCGTTTTTGTCAAGACAGCTCGAGGGAGGACTTCCTTGTTTTGCATTGTTGGGAGAAAGACTACAATTCAGCATACAAGACCAGTGCACAAGAAAAAGCTACCTGTACTGCTATGTCGCGACATGTCTCGTCAAAAGTAATATTCAAAACACTGGGAAGCAGGATAATGTGAAACTATCCGCCGGTGCCGGGATAGCTCGTTTTATGCTTTGCAATGCGCGCTGCAGCCCGTCGTTGCCAAAAATGGGCTTGTCGTGGTATGTACACTGACTGGTTGCGATCCTGGGCTTTGGGGAGGGCGGAGCAGTCCCTGTGTCCGAGCGCACGGAATTCTCATGCAACCTTTACATTTTACAAACAAGCACAATAGCGTTCCTGGGCTGCGCAGTCTTCAGCACTGAATCTCTAGGCACCCCCCACGCCGTCCATGTAAAGCGTACTCCTCACACTGGCAGGCTTCCTTAGAGCTCTCCATTCATCATCCTGCGTGCCACTGGCCAGGAAGCCCAGGTGGACGCGAAGCTAATAACCCGCCGAGGCCGGGGATTTGGGGAAAGCATAGTTCTTGTGAGGGGGGAAGGATTCTTGGCTGGTTTGAGCATGAAGGACATGAAAAATGGTTCGAGTGTGTGCTGTTGCAATGGCAGCTTGCAGAACATGACCGGTGCGAGTCCCGGCCATGGGACCAGGGGGCGAGGGGGGAGCTGGGAAGGTAGGCTCTGCTAGGCCGCTCTCCTCGACCCTTGCCGAGGCGGTCTTTGCGTTAGCGATGAAAAGACTTCAACTTCAGCCCTGAGTATGGTTGCACATGCGCTGTGAGCACCTCATAGTAAAGGAAAAGGATTACAGATCTACAATCAGACCACCAAGCAAGCCTCTGGGTCTGTGCGTCCATCATGACCTGATGCGCAGCAAAACACAAAGCCACTTTCGGCAAATCAGCGTACAGAACTTGGCGCTGCACCACCGCATCGTGGATATCTCCGAACTGAGAGAAGTGAGATTTGAGCTTCTCCAAGTCGCACGAGGCCGGCAGTCCTCCCTTGGCAAAGCAACAAGTGGGAGTGCATTGCCCATCAACTCTCGCATCGTGACCCAGAATTTAAGACGATCCAAGGCACGACGAAAATCTTCACAACGTTGTACATGCCTCCAGAATCGTCATTTCCCTGCGGTCGAAAAGATTGGCGCTGACATGCCAATCAAACATCTTGATGTAGAGGCTGGATTTGGATCTTGGCCCGATGTGAAACTCCTTTGTTAACTGGTAGTGAGAGCAGACCATTGCTGGCAAAGCAGAACTTGAGCGCGGGAAGCTGTTGCAGCAGGAGGAGACTCATGATACTCAATGCGAAGAATCAACAACCATCAGTGCGCAAAAATTACCGTTCGGGGTCCTGCTTTCCACCTTGCTTGGTATCGCGCACAGCCTGAACAGCATGAGGTCCCATGTTCCACTTGCTCTTATTACGTGAAGCTGGGCTGCGAGCTCGTTTACATGTGATCGACTTTCCATCGATTGAGTGATTTGCACCTGTAAGCATCGGTTTCATCTTTTGCCAGGCCACAGAGAGAGCACTATGCCATCTGACAGACAGCCGAGCCGGAGGCGGAGGGCAGCCTCCATGGCGGCACTGTTGGTGAAGGTCACGAAGCCAAAGCCCCGAGACTGCCCACTGCCCTGACAACGAGTAACCGAGCAACCACCATCTCACGGAAGCATCCATGGGCTCAGCCCCTCGTTTTTCTCCTGGCCTTGTCCAGCATGACCACGCACTCAGCGATCTCGCCATAGTGTGCAAAGTGATCCCTGCAGCAATCTCTCCAACAGTCACACTGACGGCAGGTACCGCAGTCTTCGCCGGCTTAGCCAGGCCCTGCTACCAAAGCCTGGATTGCGTCAGGCATCATGCCCTGGATGCAATGTGACTACATGAATCTGGCTATGAGGCTTGAGCATGATTACCCATCAGATCTTGGAATGATTCGCCTTCAAATAACGCAAGATCTGGCGATAGAATTGCGAAGCACAAATCTGCAATGCGTCATGCCATGTATCCGTGTGCCAGGTGGTCAAGCAGTTTCGCGCATTGCCTTTCTGAGTGTGCAAAGCCTAACAGCTACTGGCATGAAGAATCCTCAAGTCTCCTGTTCTGCGCCGCTCTAATGACTCAGCAGAGAAACTAGGGAAATCTACACCTACAGACTAAACTGGTGTCAAACCACTGCCAAACCCCTGCGCTCTTGGTTTTGATTTGTGGTCGGAGCAAAGCAAGACATCAAGAAGAGTCGATAAGGTAGATGCCAAAACACTTGCATCGGCTTGCGCGGGGTTTGGCACGTTGCCTAGGTCTCTACGGACGTGTGCTGCTAAGCTAGGCCATGGCTCTACTCTGGGAAAGAGATCTAAACTAACATGCTAACTATCAGAAGGGCATGCAGGGCGCAGCCAACAGCCTGCTCTCCATTCAAGGTTGCTCATGGAAACACACAACGAAAAGCTATCATGGAGGGCCTGGGACAGGAAGCGCCTTTTCATGCATACTCTATTCAGAATAGAGCATGTCATGGTCTGGGGCTCACGCTCTAAGCCCTCCTTGGTGGTGGCATGTGCCAAGTTGCCAACATACACCTGGCGTCTGCAACAAAACCGAATTCGTCTGTCAGGGGTGGCACCCGCCCTGCACCGCCTTCGTGTCGGAACCGGCCATCAATGATAGCTGATAGCTCTACTCAGACCTGCAACCTTCTACAAGTAGGTACAAGTCTTGCTGCAGGTTGACTCGTAAGTTGGCTTCATTGCATTGCTTTCACAAGTCAATCAGTGTCGTATCTTTCTTTTTGGTCAGCATCGCAGCCTGAGCTGTAAATATGGGATCCCACTGCTGCCATGTCTCCTGCAGGATAAGTTGTATTCCTATTCTCCTGTCCGCTTTGGCTGGGCCATTCCGCATGCGGACATCCATTGAGTCGAACATGCAGAGAGCTCTCCCGTGCATTGCACAAGAAAGAAGAGTTGCTGCTGCTGCTGACGGGAACAGCTCCGATGTGCGTAGCTTGGCTCATTTTTGCTCTGGAAGACATGCTCCAACATGGCTGCCAGCTCCGTGAAGCCTTTCTGTCTGGCTAGGAGGGCTGCTGTCTTTCCCTGCGAGCAGAAGGTACAGAAAGGTAGTCACAGTCACTACTGCATTAGAGAGAGGCAAATCTAAAAAAGAAAAAAAAGTGACTCTCTCGCCAAAGGCCTCGTGGTCCGTCTCGGAGGGGTCCGCTCCCGCTGCTAGGAGCACTTCGCAGCGCTGCCGGCAGCCGGCCGCGGCGGCTTCCATCAGAGGGCTCCGACCGAAGGGATCCACCTCTTGCAAGCAGAAAGGAGTGGCGAAAGGGTTCCCACCTCTTTCATCTCTTTCTCACTCGGAATGCGACAAAACTCTCTCTGCAGCGTCGCGATGCACCTGGTGGACATCAGCACGAAACTCCACAAGCTTCTTCACCAGCGCCACACCTGAGATCCACGTGATCAGCCGCATGCATCCTGTACACCGAATTGCAGCAATGCACCGCACCTGTCTTCTCAGTGGGATGCATGCAGCTAGCCAGGGCAAGCGCGCTGCGCCCCTTGCTAGCCTGGTCAGAACACAGTGCACGTGAGCTCAAGTGCTGAGGTCCAGCTGAGGGGTTCAATATGACTCAAGGTAATCAATCGTTCTGCTTGTGCAGCATGTGTCCGTGTCCATGCAATGTTGAGACCCATACAAGTCGGCCCAGAACCACTGGCAGAGCATCAGGTCGCACAAGCATCCCCTCGGAGTACTTTGAAACCAGAACAGCTAATGCAAGCCTTGCCTTCGTGCCTGGCCTTGAACTCTGCAAATTCTATGTTGTTTTTAAGGCAACTTTGACACTTTGCTCTATGTGCAAAGATCAGAGCCTTAAAGCGAGCACAAAACAAGTAATCACTTGCCCTGGTATTGTGCACTCTGGGATCATTGGAAAATCATCTGTGATTGTTTGCTGTGAGTCATTTGTGATTGCTGTTTTGGGATGTTTTCAATCTCTGCGAAGTCTGTGAGAATTTTGCGGTTTCTTTGTAATCTGTGATGAACCAGTGGAAAATGTGAGATTGTGATTTCTTTGCGATTGCTCTGGCTGTCATCTGTGATGAATCATCGAAAAATCTGAAAAAATATGTCATGTATGTGTGATCTTTCCTGGAGGTCCTTCCGGGCATTGTTCAGCTGTGATGGGCTGAGCTCAACGTTGAGGCTCCAATCGGGATCCGCTGATTCTACGAGCAATCTAATCGAATCAGTGGACCTCTCAGAACTATTGTTTGAATTGTGGGGTTCAGTGCGAAAAGAATAGGCTCATCATACAGAAGTAACTTTGTGAATCTTGCGAATAGGCAGCCATAGGCAGCTAAGTGTACACAAGGATTTTCAAATTTTCATTTCGCTCAGAGGACAAACAGCACCAGCAATGGGCAACTGGATTAGTCCCGGCCGCATCATCGCAACTAATCGATCATCGCAACTTTCAGGGGTCAAAGGTACCCCAGGGGTCAGAGGTCCCCAAAAGAAGGTTTCATTAGGAGTTATAAATATACTTGTCCCACTTACAGACCCACTTGTTACTCTCCATGAGGATAGCCAAAGACGGCGCTCCAGCGCGGAGCATCCTCTGAATCCGCGTGGGCCAACAGCGCTCCCGCGTGGAGCGTACTCTGAATCTGGGCAAGCGACGGCGCGTGCGCGTGGAGCGTACACATACATTATGGCTCACAGATCACGCTTTGATCACTCTTTTTTACACATTTCCTGTTGCGCCTGGGGCACCCAAACTACAAATCTATTGCTCTTGTCTTACCGCTTTTTAACTCTTTTGTTACTCTTGTTTCACTCTTTTGCCAACAGGTCCAAACACACAGATCACACAAACCTCACAGATAAATCACACATTTTTCGCACATCCAGAAGAGGCCTCTGGCCCAATCACTCGTTTTTCACAGATCACTCTTTTTTCACAAAGACTTGTCCATGAGGATGCAGCTCCGGGAATCTGCGAATGAAAGTTGAATGAATTTTCTAGATACATTCTGAAACCAATGACCTGTCTCTGCGTTTTCCGTGCTTCAGACAGCCCGTGCTGTTGATGCCGCGCAGCTTTTCAGCTTGAATCACTGCCAAGGATGGACGTGTGCCTTTGGCTCCGGTCTTGTCATAAAGTGTGTGCTTGCAGGGCTGGTCCAGGATATGAAATGTCCGGAATCAAACGCAGCGCCTCACAGCTGAGGAGATCTAAGGAGATAACTCCAAGCACCGCATCCCGACCCAAGTTCGCAAAGTGAAATTGCCTGTGTCGGCTCTTGTACGGAGACTGAAGTTAAGGCATCCCTTGCTTGCGCAGTCTGGAGAGGAGCTCCAGGATTAAATGTGTGGGCGCAACACGCCCCAACTTCTGACAATTTGGTCCAGTACAAGTTACCAGGAAGGATTCACGAGTGCGTGGCAGAGTGTGGCCTCGTTGGGATCTGCATGGGCTTGTAGAAGGATCTCGACGCAAGCCACACCTGACAGGCATCGAACCGCGGGCCAAAAGAATCAAATTGAATGGGACAGCAGACTGCACATTGGAGCCACAAACTTGTGCGTTCCTTGCTCTTTGAATATGTCAGCATGCGGTGCACCTATTACAAAAAGAGTGCGAATGGCAGCTGGGTGGACTGAATGCAAACCTGACTCCACGCATGACCTGTATGTGCATGGATCCCGCCGACAGAAAATCCCGAGAGCGCTGTCGAATGTTGTAGACAGAAATTCGCACCAACGCATGGTTCCAAACATATGCCTATCTACTGTAGTTACAACACAAGCTGGCTGCGTGGGCAAACTCTTCTTTTGCGCGATGTTCTAAGAGTCGGGTCTTACAGCATCACTTTCTCAAGCCTTAGGGACAATCCCTGAAGCAACTTAAAAGTGAGCTGCTAGCGCTGACAGCGTTTTCCAGGATGACGCGACAGAAGAAGGCTTAAACGAGGCCAGTCGCTCCCCCGCATGCATGCTGCAGACAGGGCTGTCAGCTGCGATCCGCTTCGATGATGCACATCGGCCTCTCGTAGGAGAACAGATGCATGCTGGCTCGTGCAACTACATGCTTCCTGTTCGCAGGAGCGCACCTGTCGTTCAAGAAGCGCGCTCGCCACATCACACCAGCCATTTCCTGAGATTGCGCATGTTGGGGTGTTGGGTTCGCAACTGTCCTGGCTGGCTGCTGGAGGTCCGGATCAGCATGTTGAGCGAGCTCTTGCCAAGTCACTGCATGCTAACGTGAGCAGCGACTGTCCGCCAGCACCTGCAACAGGGCTAAAAACTGAACTGGCGCAGGGGTGCTAATCTGTGTCGTCTGCATGTAGGATGGCCACAGACGTGCTGTTGGCAATTTGGAACTCTTCTGAACCATCAAATTCAGCCCTGCGCCTTGCTCAGCATGGGACGCATTCCTAGGATTGCCAAACTCCATAAAGATAGACCCCTCGAAGAGACAGCTAAAACGTGTCAGAGTTGAAGCTTAGCATCAGCGTCTTGTAGCGTATCCACAGCAGCGATCGATACTGCTCCTCTGCTTCCGAGGGTTTCCCTGCTGCCGCCACGAGCACTTCGGCCTGCAGTTGAGGGGAGAGTGAGACAGAGAGATTGACTGACTGACAAAGTCTGTCCTTCCTGTTGCTTCCTGCTCTGGCAACACACCAGGGGTAAGACCAAAAACACAGAATCATACCAAACGCCTCCAAACTCTCAGTTCACTCCAAATGTGGAACCCACCAATAGAGCTCAAATTTCTGCAGGCAAGTTAGCTTTGCCCTCTCTGTCGCCTCTGCACTCTTTCCAGCATCTTTCAAATCAGCCAGGAGCCTGCAGCAGCATTGAAATGACAGAGCTGCATGGACTGGTTGTCAGTCACACATCAAATGGATGGAAGATCACGTGCCGGAGCCGGAGCCTTCTGTCGAGCTTTGGGCTTGCCTCCGGCGGGTTTTGCAATTCCCACACCAGCCGCCTCACATGCCGGCATCAAAAGAAACGGGTACTGCCACTGCTTATAAGCTTAGGCGAAACCACTGCATCTGCCAAGCGGCTGTTCCGGTTCGAGGGTTCCCAAAAAGTCTGCAAGCTGGCCGTCCGCGCTGCGGTTGAATTGGGCTTCAAAGCTCGCCTGCAGGAAAACTGGTGAGGAGCCTCGTGGCTTTGGGCAACTTGGGGATCAAAACGGCACCTGGTCCCATCGGTCTGTAGACGTCGTCGGCAAATCAGCAAGGGCTGCAGCGAGCCGACGCGACAGCTCATCGTTTTCCTCCTTCTCACGGCTCTCACGGGATTCTCTCTACTACCAAAGATACGTGAGCTGCACAGTATCCTTCTGCTGCCCATCGTCCACGGAGGAGTTCTGCGCCGTCACTGCTCCTGTCTGCACAGGGGTATCTGTGGAGGCTCAAGAGCTTCAGAGACCCACATGTGCGCCCCTCCTCTGACCTCTGCGGCAGTTCGAGGCCCGGAACCTCCTGACCGAAGAGCTTCCAGCGTCTTCTCCAATTCGGACACCTTGGGCAAAGGTTCACACTGCGTGCAGGCAAGTTCTACGTACAGAGTACGTCACTATGCGGAGCAACGCAGGGGCAAACTGGAGCCACCCTCCAGATCAGCTTCAACCCTCAAATCATTACAAAATTGGTCCTGCAACCAAGGCACGACGTGCTTCTTCCAGCCAATCTCTTCATCCCAGCCGGCAAGCTGGTCCAGGACGTCTTCTTTCTCCTCATATTGTGACATCCCAAGGTCTACAAAGTAGTACAAGAAGCATTTGGAAGCATGCTGCGGGTCTCCTTGGCCAACTGCCTCTCCAGCTGCACCAGGCTTGCCAATGACGCTGCCATCAGTTACACCACAGTATGCCCATTAAATCTAAAAGCACAGTGTGATGAAATCTGTGATTCGGGTTGTCGCCTCTCACAAACAATGATCAAGAAAATCAACGGTTTCCAAAACGCGGGGTCCCCCGAAGATACATTTGAAATCAGCAGATTCCCCATCAGGTTGCCCCTAGTTCCGCGACTTTTCAAGGTTCAGACATCTTGGTCACAGTTCTGCCGGGGTCTGCAATGCAAAAGCCGAAAGTCGCATATCCACGAGGTTCAACATTAAAGTCTGTTTTTGGTTGAGACAGTCTCGTAGTCTGCTTATGGTAGTGGAAAGTAAGTGCAACCAACAGCAGTACCCGTCTTCAAACACGCAACGCATTTGGGTTTGTGAAATGTCTTCGTATGTCAGCTAAGTGGGCACGTGTTCTTGTTCGATGTCACTGCTTTTCATTGTCAGAGCGGCCGCCGATGTCCACTCCTCTGTTGGGGAGTTGGCACTTCAACTCGCAACTGGAGGTCATGAGCGGTCAGTTGCCTTGGCTGTCCTCAGCTGAGGCACATGGCACATGGCCCGTGACCAGCACAGCAACAAACCTTGCCTTCAAGGCTGCTGTAGCTCGAGGGCCTCAGATGATCTCTGCCCATTGCACAACTCTGAGCACTCGCAGGCTGCGCCACTGATTTAAGAATCTACAAGCCTTACTTCCTACATTTCAGTTGCCTGGGAGCACCTAGGCAGAGAAGCAGCCGCCACCAGTTCAGAAGTTGTCAGATTGCTTTGGAATCCACTGGGCCAGGCAATGCCTTAACATGCCTTAACTCGACATCTAAAGGGATGGAAACGGTGGCTTCATGCAACAAGCGTGGAGGGCTCTTTTCACGAGTACGTGCAGTGCCTTGAAAGTGCTGAATGTTTTCAGTGTGCGCGATGCAAAACTCAAAAAGTGGATTGCTGCGGTGACTTCATCAATCAACAGTCCACTCAAATTATTCAACAACACATCAGAAGCCTCGGCTTTTGCCAACAACTTGTTTAGATTGTATGGCCGTACCTGCCTCCAGCCCTTGGACATGTTGAGTGACCCTGGGTGCTGCAATAGCTGGCCCAGAAACCTGGATCTCAGATGATCTGTGAGACTACAGGCACATCAAGGTGCGCAGGACTGCGCTGACTGCAGCAGCAAACGCAGCGCACGTGGCAAATATGAGCTCGATGATCCCAACCACCCACAAAATCCACAAAGCTGCAAGTCCCAATGTCTTCTGCAGCAAACAGTCAATCCGGGCTCAAGGCAACACAGCTTTCTGGACATTGCCGTATGAAGAGCCATCGCCTCACAGTCTAGGCCAGGTTTAGGAGCGTGCTCTCCACGAAGGTAAGCTCAACAGCAGGCACGCAGAGACGTGCACCATGGGTGGATGGCAGCTGGCACTTTGTCCTCCCAGAGTGTCGCGCTTCTCGCAGAGTCACCAGAATCCGCAACGTCCGAGGCAGACACCGCTCATGCTCCACTGCTTCCTTTTGCAGACCACACCATGGCATCTGAAGTTCATGTCTCCAGGATTGCTGGCCTGACGATAGGCTTGCAGTAGCTCCTTCTTTTCACGTTCGAATTCACCTTGGCACAGAAAGACTGATGATGGTTGACGTTGACGTGGCAACACCCAGCACCTGACCCAAAGCACTGAATTCTCGGCACCGCAGCTCCCTCAAGAAGTGGAGATGCCTCCCGCCACTTGGATGATTGGGTTTTTTCCAACCCTGTCCGTCGCCCGTCCAGCAAGAAAGACCGGTGCAAACAGCATCCGCATGCCGTGGGAAAAGCAGAGCAAGAAACAAATGTGCACACTGCTGAAGGAAGTATCAGCTGCACAAACTACGACCACATATTCCGCACTGAGGCACAGCTCATAGAGACTATCCCGATTGCACTTTCTGCACCGGGGTCAAGGATGCAGAACTCACAACTCAGGGAAGGCAGCCCGAAGCAGTTGAGCTGCCCAAAATTATTTACTTATCCCAAGATGCCCCGACTCACTGAAGATGCAGCATCACCAGGAATTTGACAGCAGGCAGCCACTTTGCAAGGAGCTCGAATTTGAGAATGCAGGATCATACTGATTTGACTGCAAAACGAAGAAGCTTTCGAAGGAGCAGCCATGCCATGAGCAAGCTATAGATTTCCGCGACAGGTGCCTCTCCGCATCCCGCAATTCTTCTGAGGTACGAGCACACCTGCAACCCACGGCTGGACTCTTTGGGGCGTGCCGCAACGTGCCAAAAGCTTCAAAAAGACTTCCTGGCCTCAGATGCAGGCCTTTTCGGGCAGCTTTGGCTGCAGCCTCTGTCTTGCGCGCCTAGCCAAATCTGCAGGTCGCGTGCTGTGTCAAGATAGCACTCGGCTGCCAAACTACCATTTGCCTCTTCACTGGCAAGCTCCAGCTGGCATCTCACCTTGTCGGCCTGATGCACCGAGACAAAATGCTGAAGCCAAGCATGCAGGATGTCTTGCTTCACGGAGCGGAAGGCAGCCACTGCCTCCTGTAAACGCTCTGCACTATGTTGAACTTGGTGCACGCGGTCCACCTGATTGGAACATAGCCGTCTCATGCTAGGTGCCCATGCGGAGTCTAGCAATCTCTTCAGCTTCTGCGGAAACTATCCTACACTGCAGCCATCAAGAAAAAAACACAAAAAGATTGACAGCTAAGCCACTCTGTGCGGCTCGAGAATAGCTTGGCGCTTCAGTTGCTGATGCTGCGCCTCATGCTCCTGGACAAATTGCATTTTTTTGAGCGCGGTACGCTCTTACCGCTACATACAAGCAACGTGTGAGGACGACTACTAAATCTCGAATCCCCGCCCAGACTCCTGTAGAAGTCCGAGCATCACCTCTACCTCACCCTCGCTCTTGGCAAATTCCTCCCTGGTCAGAGCAAGCCGCACACGCACAGGTCCAAGTATCCCCGCACTAGCTGCTCAGGAAGGATTATGGCTAGCTTGGCTGGAAATCCGCCGAGGCCGCGGAAGAGTAAGTTAACCCTCCCTCTTCCCGAGGTGTGGATGTCCGCGTTTGTTTTTGCTCTTTTTTTGGGGGGGGGGGAGAAGTGCCGGGGAGGCAGGGGGGTGAGAGGCCGAACCGCGTACGCATTGGCCGTGGGGCCGGGAGAGGAGCGGAAGCATGTTTTTTGGCTGGTTTGAGCGTGAAGGAAATGAAAATGGTTCAGAGATGTTCAGCGTGTGCCATTGAAATGGCGGCTTGCAGAACACATCTGACGGCCACGAAATGCAGAAGATGAGACAAGCAAGTGAAACTTCTCTGGGGGATGGGTTTGGAAGGGTTGGTGGGTCTGCAGCTCCCCTCTGCCCTTGCCGAGGCAGTCCCGCGTTAGCGGATCAATTAACATGTCACAGTTCAAGAACTGTTTGCACAGTGGAGCTACTGGTAGCAGGATTCGTCTGCCTGGCCACCATCAAATCTTCAGCAACAGCTGCCTCGCAACATTGTCTGCTTCAAGTCTTGAGGGATGCTGTATCCTTCTCCGAAACGGCACATTCATGACACGGAAATCAAACACAAATCAGATGCAGCACATGCCAGACTGTACAGACTCCCTTACAGACCTCGTCATGGCGATGGCTCTGATATCGCTCTTTGCTCTCCTGGCCGCTCACCAAACGGCCTACTCAATGCACTCTGTGGGCATGAAGGCTCCTGCATCCTGTGCTGCATGGTCTTGGCGAATGCCTTCCGTCAGATTGGATATTCATGGTACCAAGCGCTGAGCAGTCTTTTACGCTGCCCCTTTTAAACTATTGAGCACGAACAGGAAAACTTGAAATTAGATTGTGTTCAACAAATTTACACAGCAAAGCCTGGTCGTGACCTGCAGAATCAGAAATTATCTACTTCAAAAATCCCCACCCTGACCTTGTTGGTTTGCTGGCATCATCAATTACTTCCAGGAACAATATGAAGCATGTATGAGCAATGTACCAGCCAGCAGACATAACAACATACATTCCAAGCGCGACTGCTGAGGTGGTGGGCTGGGTTGCACGAGGCTTGGATTTTGGTTCTGCTTTGAGGTTGGGCACCCAGGGATACTCCGAAGTTGGGAACCGCAGGGAGAGATTGGGACGCTGCAGGGAAGCTCCGGAATATCAATGAATGTTTGGGTTGGGCGCAACCGGGATAAACCATAAACCACCATTATAGATAACACTGGTGTTTCGTACTCTACCTACCCTCAGCCGCCATAGGTGAGCTGAGCCCGGATGAAATTGAGGCAGCTGGTGCGCGTTTGGGTGTGTAGGAGAATTTGGGGTTTTAGGGCCGCGCATGGTTGCATACGAAGTGCAGCTGTGGCTCGACTGTGAAGGCTCGCGTTTGAGGGTGCCAAGCCACCCAAATCTATTCCTGTAAGAGTTTAGGACCTGAATTCAGTTGGGTCCATCTTGGTCAACAATACACATTCATGTTCTTTCTTGAAATGCTGTTGTTGCTACAGGGGTCCTCCTGCGGGAGCTCTCTGAGAGGCCTTTGGGGGTGCTTGGGGTGCCTGGCGAGGCCTGGGCCGTGGTGAGGGTCGGGCCTGCCTACTAGTTCCAAGGAGACAGGCTCCGGTACCGGGCCTATCCTTGCTGCTACCGGACCTGAGACGGGTCCAGATCGATGTTGAGGGGAATTGCTGCCGCCCAAAATTGTAGGCGGGCGGCCTAAGCCTTGAGTTCAGGGTTTCTCTGAGGGTGGGCGCTGCAGACAGAGAGACCTTGATTTGGGGTTGGGCGGGGCAGGGAAACTCCGGGGCGGAGCAAATGTGAATGATATTCTGAGGTCCAACCTTTGAGGCACTGCGGGGATACTCTGCGATTGGGCACTCCAGAGGGATACTCGGCGGTTGGATACTCTGCGGCTGGGCACTGTGCGGAGGGCGAGGAGAACATGGACTTTTTTGAATCTAACAACCCCGCTAAGCCACCAAGGGTGGGAACAAAACATCTTGCAGAATGC